AGTTTCTGTCCCCCGCCCCCGCCGGCATTGCTGATGGTGGCCACTCCATGGCAGTGGGAAGAACTGAGACCGCGGACGTCAGGGCTCTCCTTCGTGCATTCATGGAAGAAACGCTCGCTAGTCTCTCTTCCCTGTGTGCCGCCTCCCAGCCTTTGGGATTCTGACCCCTGCCGGACCTCGCAGAACCCCCACGCCACTGAATACTCCCACTGAGTTTCCATCACACCTGAAGGCCGCTGCACTGCAAAAGCCGAAGTGTGGTAGCATCCGTACAATATAAAATGAATTGGGGGAGGCGAACGCTGCTTCCATGGGCTGACTCTGCAACTGCTTCCAGCCCCCGAAGCACTGGGAGAGAACCCGAGCCCCACGCTCAGGGTGCTCCCAGGTAGCTCGATGCTCACAGAGGCACCAGGGTGGCCTGCTGTCCCCATGGCCCCTCCCAGGCGAGAGCCTTGGCTTGGTGAGATCTTGCTGTCAATGAGGTCAGCCTCAGGCCCTGCCTCAGCCGCTCGGCCTCCAAGGAAGCCCTCCAACTACTTCCAGCTGTAGTCCAGGGTGCAACTCTCCCTGGTGACCCTCTCCCCAGAAGCATCCAGTGCAGTCGAATCATACCACGTGGGCACGAAGGTCTCTGCATCTCTGATCTGAGCACCTAAGAGGCCTGAACCCCACCCCAACCCCACATCTCCTACCAAAGGGAAAGAGGACGTGACTCACTCAGTGACACTTCCTGGATGGAGAACAGTGGCTGTGGGGTGTCTGGTGGGCAGGGAAGAGATCAGGGCAGACAGGGTCAGTCTTTTGAGGGAGCTTCTGCCAGGGACAGTGGCCCCTGCCTAGACAGCCAGTCCGGACAGTGCGTCCCTTAGGAACAAGACTGGGCAGTGTTCACAGCACCCACCCTGCTGGATACACTCTGCGCTCATGGCTTCAATCCATCCCCGTCCACCGGGGTGCGGACCGTGCCGCTCCCTATTCCATGTGAGGCTCCCAGAGGGCCAGGGCCTCCTCCAAGCTATATAACCACAACAGCCTGGCCCCGGGGATGACGCTCTCAAACCTATACTCAGCAGCTGAGTGACTGTGGACAGGCCATTTAGCTCTCTGAGCCTCAGTTTCCTCCCTTATTAAACAGAACCAAGGATGCTATGAGGGTGACGTTCATGTACCAATTTGGCTGGGCCACAGTACTCAAATGCTTGCTCAAACTCTGGTCTAGATGTTGCTGAGAGGTTTATTTTTTTTTTACATGAGATCAACATTAAATTAGTGGACTTGGAATAAAACAGATTGCCCTCCAGCATGTGGGTGGGCCTCACACAATCCGTTGAAGGCCTTAAGAAGACTGAGGTCCCTGGAGGAAGAGGGGATTTTGCCTCCTTGTAGTTTTTCAGCTTAAGTAGCAACATCACATCTTTCCTGGGTTTCTGGCCCGCCCTGCAGAGCCTTCACTTAGTAGGTCCCGCCACTGCATGAGCCAGACCCTCAAACTAAATCTCTCTCTGTATGCGCACACGCATGTCCTCTTGGTGCTATTTCACACACACACACACACACACACACAGGCACACACACAGGCACACTCACGTCCTATTGTTGCCATTTCTCTGGAGATCCTGACTGCTGCAGATACCAAGATATGCACTCAGGCTCAGGGAAATTTGCTAGAGGTGTTTTTAATAAGCCTGTTGCTGAGGTAGGCAGGCTGCACCGTGGTTTCCTGCTCCGCAAGTTCCGGAGGCCACGAGGGCATTTTCGAGCCAACTCCCCTTCCCCCCAAATCAGAGCTGTGGGCTGCGGCAACACAGCTCCCCCAGAGCCGAGATGCTACCACATGATGCCCTTCTCAGACCTGCGCTGTGTGGATTCTTTGCTGGGGCGGGGACCCAAGTGAGGGGCTCATGTAGACACTAGGGTCTGCCTGCTCCCGAGCTCTCCTGGGCCTTGCTTGTTGCCTGCTGGGAGGGTGAGCGACCTGGATACCCTCCGTTTTTTGAGAAAAGAGCCCTGGGCCAAAGCAGAATGGCTTGGTGAGATCTCACTGCCAACAAGGCGGCCATGCCACAGGCTGTGCAGCTCCAGGACTCGGCTGTGCCTGCCAAGCCTCACCTCACCTGCACCACGTCACTGAGACACCCACACGTCAATGGTGGAAGCTACTGGAAATCGCTAGCCCTGTCAAGAACTCTCACTTCACCCACAGCACCCCCTGCCCTGAGAAAAAGCGGTGGAGGGCTCTTCCTGCCCCTCTAAGCAGAGCAACACCCCTCTAGCTTCTGGCCCAGCAGCCATAACTGAATGCAGAATTCGGTAAGCCCAACTTTGAGGGAAGCGTGAGTGCAGAGAGGAGGCCCATTCTCTGCGGTGAGCACAGGTGGCAGGTGGCTCAAGATCACAGGGCCCACTGAGACGTGGGGGCCCCGCCCCTGCCCAGCTGCTTGCTTCCCTTTTGCAGAGCGTTTTAGGCAGATGCTCCCCAGCAGGGTACCACAGGCGGTCACAGGCGGGGTCTGAGGCGAGGTGACAACAAATTTGACATTCTCGTTTTAGGTCCAGTTTGCACAAAAGGAAACGGACAGTGAGCACCCTGACCAGGTCTGTCTGGTGGATGTCACCCAAGCATTACCAAAAGATACCTGTGCCCAGGCCCCCTACCTTCTGGGTAAACACAAGTTTATCAACCCTGAGCAGGCAGTGTTCTCATCTGCAAAATGGAGCCAGTCGCCCGTGACATCGCCTCAGGCAAGACTGTGGGACGCTCACCAAGTGATAGGTGAGCAGAAAGATGAGCCCTCCAGACATGTCCCACCGAGCTGGTAGGGGCCTGAGTCCTGTGGCGTTACCACAGGCTTGGTGCTGCCCTGTCCAAGGGCAAGTGCCCACCCACAGCACTGTTCTCTGTGCAGCTCGGCTGGGGCCTGAGCTGAACCTGCGGGGTCCCTCTGGACACAGGCACCCCTTGTCCACATGTCCCCTACACCGCCACCCTTCGGGAAGTGAGGTGTGGATTCAACATTTGATTATAGAACCAGTTGGAATTTAAACTGCAGGCTGGCCCAGCCCGGCCCTCCCATTTCACACATGGTTAAGCCAAACATCCTGCTCATGTCACGCTCTTTCTGGGTGGGAAAAGGTGCAAAACGGCCCCTCCCATCCCCTGGACAGCAGTGCCTCTTCTGCAGGCCCTTGGCCAGGCACTGGGCTGCCTCCCCTTCGCCTACGAGATCTCCGGGTAATAGCTGTCTCTTGTTCCAGGCCTACTACTCATGGGCAAGCTGACAACTGCAGGGCAGGTAAACTGACCCAGATTTCACTGGGCAGACCCGAGGCCAGTAGACAGGTGTCTGGCTGCCCAGCTTGCACCCTGGGAAGTGCCTCGATTTTCTCCCTCAGGCAAAGCCCTGGGGCAGTAGGTGCTGTCTGTCAATTGCTGACATATTCACTCGCTAGAAAAAGAGACAGTGGCACACCCCTGACACACCCCAGACCTGGAACTTCCTCTCACAGAAATCCTGCTTGGCTTGGGCCTACCCAGCCCTCCGTCACTCATCCAAGGTCACCTGGAAATCAGGCGTCCACAGAGTAAGGCCCTTCTGTGGCCCTGCTCAGGATGCAGTACAGGGAGATGTGGGCTCAGCCATCGCCATGCCAGGGCCGTGCAGGAAAGGGACGCCCTCAGCGCCATGGGGACACCCGTCCTGGACACCAGGGCGGCTGGGCGGGGTGGGGCCCTGCATTAGAATGGCTGCCCCATAATGGGCTTCCCGAAGCTTCTCGGCAGCTCTCCTCTGCTGGTTCCCCAGCATCTGGCCTCCTCACTGTGTGCAAGGACCGTGCCCTCAGCCAGGGGAGAACTCACTCTCCCCTTCCGTTCACGGTGGCCCCTCCCCCTCCCCCTCGTGGCCCCAGGTGCCCTCAAAGTAGGAGAGCTCAGGTGCAGGGAGACTGGCTGGGGACAGCGTGGGAGGCTGGACACACACACAAGCACTCACGGTTGGAGGAGGAGAGCAGGGCTTGGATGCCAGGGGGAGGGGGAGGGTGGACTGAGGAGGGGCTAGCAGTGAACCCCAGGCTGCAGTCCCCCAACTCCCAGGAGACCTTGGGACAGGCCCTCAGGAGACCGGTTCAGGTCACACAACTAATGCCTGTCTCCCCAAAACTCATTGTCACCCAGCACTCTCACAGCCTGAGGCCTGAGGTTGTGAGCCTCTGAGAATCTGAGAGAAGTGACAGATATACCAGCAAGAAACTGTGCCTCGCACACACACACCTCACAGATATTTACACACATGCACACACTCACACAACACACATATCCCCACATACTCTCCGTGCACCCACATTTAGACACCCCCCCCAACTTACACATACACACACACACACCAAACACACACGCTCACACTCAGACACGTACGCAGACTGCTGGAGACAGAGCAGCCCAGGAGCTCTGGAGGCGGGAGGAGAGGAGGGAGACTGACTTAGGCAGGAGGAGGAAGGCGCAGCTGGTACGGCCCCACTGCCGTCCCACACAGCCTGGTCTTGTCTGACTCCGTGCCGCCAGCTGGGGGGTTTGCCTGCCCCACCCCCCAGCCTCCCCTGGCTCTCCCAGCCTCGCAGGCCTCATTTCTGGGCTCAGCAAATGTCTGCAGCTGTTGGGAGATCCTAGACCCCGAGGCTGAGGACTGGGGTCTGTGCTGCTCCTCCCACCACGCTGGGCCCTGACTTTCTCGGCTGCAGATGCCCCCATCAGCTCCCATAGCTCTGCCTGTGGAGGGTACAGCTCTCTCCTCAAGGAATCTCAGTAAAAAGGAGCCTGGAGTGGATGATCCCAGGGCAGGCCACTGGGACCAACGCCATCGGGGTCCCCTGCAGGGCTGGGCCAATGGGAGCTGCTTCCCTTGGGAGAGGCTACAGCCACCCTCCAGGGAAGGGCAACCGAGCCAAACTTTCTTCCATTGAAAGAGCAGCCCAGACACGTGAGCTTTGATGTCACTCACCCCGCTCGATGTCCTGTAGACTGTGGCAGGGGCGTCGGCTATGCTGGCAGGAGCTTCTGGCCACTCTTTACCAGGCTTGCTCTGGGCACTTCTGGGAAGACAATGGCCAGTCAAAACTGAATGCACAGTGCTTCCTCTTAGGCTGAGGGAGAGAGGAAGTCTTGCACTACACGTGGCCCAGCGTCTCTGCTTTGCAGGGTCTCCCAAGACTGAACACCCAGAGAAAACAGTGAACCTGTCAGAGAAGCAGCAAACAGGGACATTGGGGATGAACATGTGCTTATGGAAATAAAAAGTTTACATGAACAAGGGAACAGAAGGACAAAAGCTGGAGGGCTAATCAGAGAGCAGGGTGAGTAATTATCTCAAGGGCACAAGGAGGTGGGAAGAGAAAGGCACATCCCTCTGTCCCATGGATGCCCGACACCCATTTGACCACAGGACTCCAGGAGGAAGAAGAAGGAACAGAGAGGAGGAGATACTCAGAAGACAAAAACAAAGGACCATATCTAAGAGAGGGCCCAGATGAAGAGTTTCTCCAGAGAGGAAGGAAGGATGTCCTCTCCTGTAACTAGGTGTATTCTGATGCTGTCACAGATCATAAGAGAAATTAGCAAGGAAATTATACAAGATAAAGTAGGGGGGAGGAGGGAGAGAGAAACATGTGGTGAAGGCGCTGCACCTGTCAATGCTGGGATGGAGGCTGGGGAGTCAGGCACTGGAGCATCACGCTGCTGCTGCGTTGGCGGATGGGGCTGAGTGAGCTGGAAAGAACCGGGGTCCGCCCATCAGAGGAGGGGCCTGCAGTCCAGCCCCAGCCCCCCATCACCCACCCCTACAAAGTCAGAAAGCAACCTCACCTAGGTCGACTTGAGAGCTTTCAGGCCAGGGAAGGCTGCTGGCGGCACTTTCTCAGCTCTCAGCTCTTCCTTCTCACACCTGTGTCCTCTGTGCCAACTTCCCTCCTAGTTGGCCTGCAAGTTCTCCCTGCAACCCAAACCTGGTCTTTTTCTGAAACTCTCCCATCTTTACTTTTATCTTCTTTTTAATTCCTTCCTACCAGTAACCTTCCTTCTTACCCTGCAGTGTTAATTCAGCTCTCATACCCTTTGCTCCTTTGAGGCAGAGAGTGGGTGGCAGGAGCCAGCAGAGGCAGCTGGCAAAGGAGGAGGGGGGGGGGGGGGAGGGCAGGCACACTTCCTGTGGAGGAGGGTGCAGAACAGGAGACAGTGTAGCTCAATGTCAGTGCTCCAAATAGTTTTTTCTCACTCCGTGCCCTACAGATCCATAGCAACAGGGAGAAAGTTGCTCAGCCAGGGTCATGGCCCTAGTGTAACCTAGGCCATGTCCACACAGAGGGCAACCAGGTGACCTAGAAAAGAGAGGAGAGATGCCAGAGCCTGGGAGTTTCCAGCCACCTCTGTCCTCGTTACTGGCCTGGACGCCCCAGCCCACCTCCCACCCAGTCACCATGCCCGCCAGGCAGACTTCTCTTTAGCCTTCCTCTTTCTGGCTTCCTCCCTTCTCCCTCCATGGAGGGAGCGGAAGAGGTGGTGCTCATGCTTCCCTGATTGCCCAAAGGATGCCCAAGGGACAGTGCCGACACCCAGGGAGGTGGGGGACTGGCCTTCAGACTGAGCAGGGGGCCCCCAACCTTCATAAGAATGCAGAGATTAACGGACAGGCTTGGCCATGTGGCAACCACGCTGTAAAGTGTATTACAGATCTGTCAGGAGGCAGAAACTTGACTTTAAATGGAAAGATTAGTGGGCAACAAAGTGAAGCAATGATCAACTCTGGAGAGAAACCAGCAAGTTGTAGAAGGAAGAAAATGTAATTGCAGTATGTGCACTTTGCCCAGTGACGCACAATATTTACATGGTTAGAATAAGGGAGGCACTGAGCACAGATTGAAAACCAGCCCATCATACACCCCTCTGGAGGGGAAAGGGATGTGTGGGGGTTGAGGGCTAACCCTCATCTACCAGAACAGGAAGGGCATAATGCCTTCCCATCCCGGAATCCAATTCCTCCCTTTAGCAGGAGGCTGGGCTGAACTGAGGGACCACCAAACTCTAACACAGGTCCCTCTTCCCTTCCTGGGTTTCATCAAATTGCCGTTTCCCACTCAGTTTGTGGTTTCCGCCAATGCTGAATGGAGCCACTAAGGCCACCTTTGGGGATGAGTGCCCGCAGAAAGTCTGCGTTGCCTTTGTCAAACGGGTTTGTCCCTTCTGACCCTGGATTAAGGAATCCAGTTCCCACAGTTGTTTTCTAAAGTCCTCTTGTCCCAGGGCTGGGCATGGCTGGGAGACATGGAAGGTGAGGCCAGAAACAGAGCTCATGCTTGAGGTCCAGGGGCTGGGCCCACCAGGAGTGGTGGCACCCTGAGGACACTGGATCCCTTTCCTCCTCTGGGCCTCAGTTTCTCTCACTCCTCACCCCCCTCCCCAACACCTTCCACGTTGTGAGGAAAAATGAGAACATGCGAAAAAGTCCTGCAAAAGTGCCTGTCACACGGCAGGTGCCAGAAAATGTAAAGATGTCAACAACAGAAAGAAGAATGAGACGTGGTCCCAGAGATCATGGAGCTTGGGATAAAATCACAACACACGTTTTTTCTTGAGCAGAGGGTCTATATCTGGACTTACAGAGAAATTCCTTTTCATGGGATTTTGTGCTTCTACTTTTTAACTTTTGAGCCTGGGGGAGCAATTTAATTTTTCTGCATTGGGTTCTTTGCATGTCATAGACAGGAATTAAATTCTTTCCCCTGTCGACCTCTGGAGACGCGGGGCTGATGAGACCCTGGCCTTCTCTTAGCGTTGGGAGCATGAAGTAGGAAGGATATGGAGCAAGGCCTGGTATCCAAGGCCTTCCTGGGTAGGGGGCGGGGAAGCCCTGTCTTTGCATTCCCCGGAGAAGGTGGATTTGGGGCACGCTGATATTTTGGATGACCGTCTTAGAAACTCTTTCTCATGCCCCTCTCTGCCTCGACCCCTGGAAAGGTCTACAGAGAAAGCCTGCTTTCAACCTCCCTCCCACTGGGGACTCCTTGCTCGAGCCAAATCCAATTACCTGCCTCATCTCTGGCACACCTGTGTTGTGCCATGCAACAGTACATTCTGAAGCCCTCCCTGTGCCCCCCATTTCCCCTCCTGAAGGGTCCCACCCAAATGGTATCTCCCCAGGGCCACACTTATCCCTGTCGAATTTCTAACATGTAAGGAGCTTCTTCTGGTCCCTGGGTGACACTTTACACATATGTGTGGCACATCAGTTGGACAGAGGTGAAGGGCATGGCAGTAGCCAGCTCCATTGGAATTCAGTCCCCTCGCAGGCCAATGGGAACAGGGATCACTGGACTTACGACACTATGTGTGAGGGACAAGCAGGTAAGGACCCAGCAAATCACCTGGTGCAGAGAAAGCACTCAACAAATGTTAGCCATAATGACTCCACTAGGGCCAGGCAGGAAAACTTTTCCTGGGAAGAGCAGGTAGTACATGTTTTTGTGTTTTTTGGCCATATGGCTTCCACCACAATTACTCAGCTCTGCCGCCTTGGTGTCAGGGCAGCCAGCCTCCAACCCCCTGTGAATAAATGAGCGTAGCTGTGTTCCAATAAAACTTTATCTATAAAAAAGATGGAGGGCCAGCCTGTGGGTGGTAGGTCACTGAATGCTGCCCTAGGCCAGTGATTCTTTGGGGGAGTGAGGATAGTGTGAGGGAGCAGGGAGCTACACCTGGGAAACTGGAAATCCTGGGCCCGTGTAGGAGGCTCCTTTGAGTGGTATTGGAAACTGTAGCCCCGTGCAAGCCGGGGCCCGGGAGAAGACCCATAGGCCTTGGCTGGAATACCAGTAAAGCTGGAGGCAGGCAAGATATGATAATGTCTCCAAGGGCCCCTGGGGGCAATCAGGCCTAGAAGTAAATCACACTCCCTGAAGCAGGCTTTGTTTCTCCCTCAGACTCTATTAACCTTTTGCCAGATAACCAGCTCAAGGCTGGGAAAGAAATTTACAAAACTCCTGGACCCTGACCTAGATCCCACCTAGTGCCATAATGTTTGCTCAACCTGGACACGAAGCAATTTGGTGTGTTCCTGCCATTGTCATCTTTAAACAGTATCTACTCTTGTCAGCTTAAACTGCTGATGTAATTATATTACCTATACTTCCCTGCTGCCAATCCCCTGCCTGCAATCCTCTCAATAAAAGCCATTGAGCACAGGGGCTCGGGGCCTTCCGCACTAGAGGGAATCGCCTTCCCCTTTCCTTGACAGACAGTTGGTGTCCGGAACGACTCTTTCTTTCATCTGCGCGGCAAACCGGAGGCCTCTGCAGGAGCGGAGTCCCCCACAGGCCGAGACTCTTGCCAGAAATGCAGATCTGATCCACTGGTCCATGCCCAGCCCACTGGATCCAGATCTCAGGTTGGCCCTGGTGTCCGTTTAACACACTGTGGGGTGGTCTGATCATCAGCCCAGGGACAAAGTCAAGACCAGACCATAAATCTCAGGTCCCGCTGGGGGCTGCATCTAGAAGGCACTTGGGACTGGGAAAGAGTAAGAGGAGGACATCAGAGGCAGGGACAGAACGGAGACCTCCAGACACTGAAGGGGACCCCAAGGCTCTCTTCCCTCTTTTCTCAACCTTCCCTCCTGGCCTCTTCTGCCAGTTTTAGGATTCCCCCTCCTCCCCAGAGGGGACTGAAACACCTCATCTGGGTCCCCCGTTCCCACAGAATCCTTGGGGGTGGGTGCTCCGGTGTCTGCAGCTGTCAGGGTGGGCACAGGGCCTCTCTCCCCTCCTGCAGGTGAGGGGCTCCACCTCTGACTACTCCTTCCTCCTCTGCCCCCTCCCCCGATCCTGCCCTCCTTTCCCTGGAAAGCTCCTGCAGGTCGGGGGCTGGTGGCGGGCTGTCTTCTATTTTCCTTCTCCCTCCTGTTTTCTTTCTTAAGGAAAAATAGCACATCTCTCATCATGGGGCCCATGGGTCTCTCTTGCTTCTGGCACACACAAGAGCTGGGCATGTGAGCACTGGTGGCCAATGTGGCTGGGCTCTGGGAAGCCTGGACTGAAGTTCTGGACGCTCAGTGAGCTCCCACTGGGCAGATGGCTGCATGGCCACGGGCCAGCTATGAAAGGTACCTTTTTCTCTCTGTAAAATGCGGGTGGGGGTCTGCCTATCAGGATGTGGAGATGAAGTACGTGAGGCTCTCCACAGAACAGGGACACATGGCAGCAGGGTATGGGGCAGGACCAAGCGCCTGGAGCCAGCCCAGCAAGGCTGGTGAATCAAGCAGGGCAGAGGGGAAGAAGAGAGGGGATCTCCCCTTGATGTTGGCTAAACAGGGGTGAGGCAGAGGCTGATCTGGGGAGGGAACACATGTCCTCATATGGGTGTTAGCTCATCCACGCAGGAAATGACCCGCCAAGGGTCACCCATGAGTGGGAGGCCAGGCTGGGCAGATTCAGCTGAGACTGTGGGCTGCGTGCTAGGTTACCAGGAAGACCTAATCCTTTTCACACCTGAGCAACAATGAAAACGCCAAGTTAAACAGGCTGCCTGACCCAGGGAGAGAGAACACATGCTGGCGGCGGCTGGCCCCCAAGCACTGCCCAGCCCACAGGCCCTGCCATCTCTGAGCAATGGGATCAAAGGGGTTTTAGCACTTGAAATAGTTTTCTATATTTTCCAAATTGTCTGTGATAGCCAACTATTTGTTTTATAGTCAGAAAAGATGTGACCGTAAATCAAGTTAATCAGACACAGAACAAAACCAAAAGGATCTACGCCCCATGCACCTGCCTGTAAGGAGTGGGTAGAGGGTTGGAAGAAGAGGAAAGAACTGCAGCTGAAGGATGTTGGGGGGCAGGGAGGGCCTGGAGGGTGACAAGGCCAGGCCCCCATAGGGGTGGGCCACAAGGGCTCTTGTGGTGGGGCAGAGCTCACTTGTCGAAATCATGGCTTGGGCAACCTCCTCTCTAGGCCTCTTCCTCCAGCCCTGCCCACTTCCTCCTCCAAGGGGCCCCAGCAATCCCATGGCGAGTCTGGCACAGTCTTTTACCCCAAGAGTTTCCAAATGCCGGAATTTCACAGCCTCAAACCACTTGCCGCTGACTTCCTGACCTGTCCCCGGCATGCACAAGGGAGAATGGTCACGCCCCTGGTTCCTGAGCACAGCGGTGCACAGGTTGGGCACCCACCTCGGTGCCCCAGGAGCCAACAGGGCGGCCATTCCCTGAAACCCACCGGGTTAGGGAGATGCTCAGAAGACAACCTGTCCAGTAGAGACCCGAACCGATAATTTTAAGCCCCAGGCATCCCTAAACCAAAATCAAAGGGTTTGGAGTTGACCCGCAGCCTGGCACACCACGTCTCCAAGGCTGGGGTGCCTCCTTCGAGCAGTGGGACTGAGAGGCACCTGCTTATAGGCATCTGCGCTTCCACAGGTTCAGGGGACCCACACTGCCTCCTGCTGTGGGCAGCTGCCCCCCTGCTGCCCCCATCTGTCTGGGAGACCTCTGTCTTGGGCACCCCTCTCGGAACCAGGCCTGGCACAGGAGAGTGGCACTTGGCGCCTGCCTCAGCCTCCCAACCCGTAGCTGGAGATCGGACCCTACCGCGTGCTGAGGCTTGGGCAGATCTCAGCGGCCCGCCCTGGAACAAGGTGCCTCCTTCCCAGAGCTGAGTCCTCGGGGAAGCAGGCGAGGTTCCCCAACAAGGTGGGAGGTGGGCATGGAGAAAGCTGTCTCCTTTCCCCATCGCCCCAGGGCTGGAGCGGGCAGGAAGAGGTGGGGCAGACTCAGAACTTCCCCCCGGCCAGATGCCCCAAGGCCCATCCGCAGAGCCTCTGCCTTCCATGGGCCCATGCTGGCTGAGGAAGGCCCACCTGGATCCCGGTTTACCTGGCTGGGTAAACCATAAACAGCCCAGAAAGGAAGGCCTGACACTGAGCACACGACACCTGTGTTACGGCATTGGATCAGGGCCAGGCCAGTCTGGGATGCAGCGGACTCTGCCGCTCCAGGTCCCAGGACTGCCCCTCATCGTGTTGGGAGAAGCAGCTCTGCTGTTTGCAGGTCGTCATCCACTCTAATGAGCATCCTGCGAGTTTGGGAACCTTAAGAACAGAAACTGAGCTTCAGTAGGAAGTCCCAGAGGAGGGCCCGCCGGGGCCAGGTGTGCAGCAACGTGTGGCAGGGGACGTTTGCTTGTCCCAGAGCCCACCCCCCCACAACAGTACTGGACCCCAGACCCCCGTGTGTGATCTTCCTACAGCTCCTGTGTGGTCTGTGTGCTGCGGGGGTCTGGGAGAGGCAGCCCATCGCTGATATCTTCTGGCACCCCTGACTGAGTATGTGCCCCCTGTGTCCCCAGCTCCGTAGAGTAGCAGGAGTGTACCCTTCTTGGTCCATGAGCGCCCTCAGGCGACAGAAGATTGAGTCAGAGAAAAAACAATTACCTTCACAGCCTTAGTCAGGCATTGGGGACAGGAGAACACCAAGGTCCTGAGGACCTCGTGGAGGCAGACAGTACAGGGGACAGATGGTCAACGTGGCTGATGGTGGGAAGGGCAGAGAAGCTAAGGGAAGGGGGAAGAGAGTGTACGCTGGGTAGGTCAAGGCCACGAGTTCCTTTCCAGGGATATCATGATGCGGGGGGCGGGGGGGGGTGGCCCTCTGGGTATGTAGGGGTGCATGTCTGGCCCAGAGTGGAATGAATGGGCAGGGAGACCCAAATATGGCTAGGGGAGGAGCTCAGTGGGGTGGGATTTGGGGCAGTACAAGGGGCTGTTAGGGTGGCTGTGAGCTTCCCGGGAAGCTTTCAGATGAAGAAGAAAGACCCTGGCTGCAGATGGAAGAGTCAGAGTAGCAGGGTGTGGCATGGAGGTGGTCATGAGGGGGATGAGAGGAGAGACAGGGAAAGAAGGGGTCCCAGGATTTTTGTAAAGCTGCGACAGGTCCATTTTGGAGCAGACCACATTTGTTTCCTTTTATGAGATAGCATGGATTGCACAGGGAGGCAAAGAGGAAAGCCTGAAACCGCGTCTGTCCTGCAGACCCCCGGAGCTGTTCACGTGCTGACATCACTGGCTGGGCCAGGCAAGGGACCTGCCAGGAGCCAAGCTGGGGCCTCCCTGCCTCGAATCACTCAGGAAATGAGGCTAGTTGGGTGCAGAGGATACAGTGTGTTAAAGATCATGCCAGCGGTGTTCAGCTTCTGGGGTGTTCCCAAGTGTCCCTGTGTGGGCTGCCAGGAGGACAGTCCTCGATGCCAGCTGGGCTTTGTCTCCGTGCCTGTGTGCTATGCCCGTAGCTCACCCATGCATGCCTTTCATCAGCAGAAATTCCTTCTGCATTCTTGTTCTGTCACGGCGCAGCTGGGGACCTGTGCTGTTCCCTTAGATGACTGATTAGAACCAGGCTTCTTACACCTCTGAAGACACCCCCTTGAAGAGGTCCTAGGTCCCACAGGATTGGTGGGGACCTGACTTGGGGTGAGCATGGCCTTCTCCACATTCCAGAAAGCTTACCCGCTGGGTCAACACCCTCACTTCCCAGAGGTTCCAAAGAAGGCTGAGCTCTCCTTTCAACCACCTGGTCTGGGAGGCACTGAGCAGATGCCAACACTGGGGTGCCCCACCCAAGAGCTGGCTTCTGGAGTTCTGGGGACTCCATGGGGTCTTCTTGGACCCATGATGGCATATGCAGGAGTCTTCATCATCTACACATGTCTTGTCCACATTGGACATTCTGGAACTGGACAGGCCAGGTCCTGCATACCCTGAACAGACCTGCAACAACCAAAATAGAATATTGGCTTGCCCACCACAGGGAGACCACACACCAGGCCTTCACTGTTCCTGAGAAGTGGTGCCCAGCTCTGTGTGGGGCTGGCTGTTCCTCTCCAAAGCCCGCTTTTTGTGGCTGGGTTTCCACTGGGCTCCTAGGCAGGGCTGAGTCCTGAGTGATGGCACCTGGCTGAGCCTGGACTCCTGAGTGGCCCCACTACAGAACAACAGGGCTCCTTGACGATGAAAGTCACACCCATCCTGAGCCTGCTTCCCCCTGAGCTTGCTTTCTTGTTTTCCTGGATGAGCCCCTCAGGGCTGGATGCACAGGAGCCAGAAAGCAAACTGCAGAGATTTCAAGAGCAAGACTCACTCAGGTTCTGGTCCTGGAGCTCCTCAGCACAGGACTCACATTTGGCAACAAGTAATTCCAGTAACAAGTTATTCCACCATGTTGTGTCCCAACACTTTTCCACCCCACTGCTTGGGGAGAGAGAAGGGAGGGAGAGAAACATCATTGTGAGAGAGTAGCATCCATTGGTTGCCTCGTGGGTGTATCCAGACCAGGGGTCGCAGGAGCCCACGCCCGGGCGAGGAACAAACCTGCAACCTAGCAATGTGCCCTGACTGAGAATCAAACCAGCAACCTTTCAGTTATGGGACGTCGGTCCAACCAACTGAACCACACCGGACAGGGCTAAAAGGAATTTGCTTGGAAGGGTCAATGAAATGCTGTAAAACAAGATGGGTACAAAGTATAGGTTCAATCATAGTTAATAAAACAAATGAACTCGCTCAGACAAGGGTTGTTTGGGCTTCTGGCAGATTCAACCACATTCAGTCCCAGATGTCCCAGGTCACCACGTCTGATAATATGCAGGCCCCAGCTCCAGTCCTCTGATTCTTTTTCTCCCCCAGAGACTGTATGAAAGGCACAAGTGTCGTGTGCTGCACGCAGTCGTGTGTTTTCAACAAGCTTGTTCATCCAGCGACACATGCACCATCCACAGATCACAAGGACTCTGCTGTATTCCTGCAATTAGACCTTCTCTGCCTGAGAGGCGGGGCTTATCGGGGCGGGGTCGGATACACGGCCCCGCCTCTCCTGAGCGACTGCGCAGTCGCTGAGGGGAGGATCTCGGAACCCAGGCGTCTGGGCCCCAGTTTCCGCCGGGCTGAGAGCGCGCGGGATCAGCTTCCGGCAGGCTCTGGCTCGTGCGCCCCGCTTTTTCCGATGCAGTGTGATTCTAAGCCAAAGAGATGGGGAAAGTGAGGAGGCTGCGGGCCCGCGTGCACCAGGCTGCCGTGAGACTCACCGGGGAGGCCGCGCCCGGCCTCGCGCCTCCGGCCCAGGAGGCGGCCCCACCGCAGGCCTCAGCTGGCGGAGACGGGAGGAAGGTAAGGCAGGGGCAGCCAGCGGCCTTGGTGGCAGGAGTGTGTGTGCAACGGGGGTGGCTAGGGTGGGGGCAGGGTCGGCGGGGGTGGGTTGAGGCGCCTCATTGTGTCGCCTGCGGGGGGGGATCCCGGGCTGGCTTCGACCCTGTGGTGCCCCGGGAAGGGTCTCCCGCGACCCCGAGCCCACTCTCGGCCGTGTCTGCTGTGCGACCTGCCGCGCCTTCTGGGTCCGTGACATTTGGTGGTCTCCAGGCTCATTTCACGTTGAGATGGCGGGCGAGAGTTGACTTTCCCCGCGCCTTGAGCTGCGCGCGAGAACCAGACACCTTCCACAACAGCGTCCAGAAATGCTGCGCAAATATGAACTCTTAGGAGTGGAAAGGAAATTCTCAAGGTTAAAGAAAAAGTGAGGACCGAACTGCAAAGAGACCCTGTGCCCTGTAGCAGTCACCCCTGTTCTCTTTACCCTGCCCTAAGCGGTCACTGATCTATTTCCTGTCTCTCTTATGAACATTTCACACAGATGGAGTCATATATGTTGTGGTCTTTGCGGTAGTGTTGTTGGACTTAGGTTTTCAACATTCATCCTGGTTGTATCATTGTTTTTTAAGTCAGGATAACTTTCTAGGGTATGGATAGACCGCGTTTTGTTTATCCAGGGGCTGACCCTTGAGCTGCCGTGGAAGCACTTAGTGTGCAACCAAGGGCTTGGGGGGTGAGATGGGGGTCGGGGGACAGCAGATGAGCCCTTGTAGGTCCATGGGGAGGAAGACTTTGGTTCAGGTGTGTTAATGAGAACAGTCATGTCTGTTGAGCACTTGCTGTGTGCCAGTCACTTTACACCTTCCCGACTGCCCTAGCCCGCGTTTTGCAGGTGAAGAGGCTGAGAGTTTAAATAAACTACCAAGGACACTCAGCTGCTGATGCAGGAGCTGATGTTCGAACCCAGGGTCTGGTACCAGTGTTCTAGCTTTTATAAAAACTATTGAGTTATAATTAATATGTTATAAAATTCACCCATTTAAAGTGTAAAATTCATTGGGTAATTTTTTAGTATATCCACAGAGTTGTGCAAAAATCACTACAAATTTCAGAACATTTTCATTACCCTAAAAAAAGAAACCCCACATTTATCGTTAATCATTCAGAGCAACCACATATCTACTTTCCATATCAACAGATTTACTTGTTCTGGACATTTCATATAAATGGAATATGACAATGTGTGGCCTTTTGTATCTGGGTTCTTCCCCTTATGTGTTTTTTGAGGTTCCTCTTTGTAGTATAATTTTTGCAGTACTCATTTCTTTGTTTTCATTTTTTTAATGGCTGAAAACATTCCGTAATATGGGTAGATTACCATACTATACCACATTTTATTTTTCGATTCATAAGTTGATGGATAGTTAGGTTGTTTCTAATTGTTGGCTATCATGAATAATACTTCTGTGAACTTTCCTGTGCAGAGTTCCCAGTGGACATATAGAATGGAATTGCTGGGTGGTACGGAATGCTGTTTAATTTTTAGAGGAATTGCTTGACTATTTCCCACAGTAGCTGCACTGTTTTACGTTTCTACCAGCAATGTAAGAGGTTTCCAGTTCCTCCACATCCTCACCAACTTTGTTGTTATTTTCTGTCTTTTTTTATTATAGCCATCCTAGTGGATGTGAGGTAGTATATTATTGCTCTGGTTTGCATTTCCCTAAAGGCTAATGATGTTGAGAATCTTTTCATGAGCTTTTTGCTATTTGTACAAGTTTGGAGAAATGTCTCTTCAGGTCCTTTGCCCATTTTTTAATTGTGTTGTTTGTCTTTCTGTTGAGTTTTAACAGTTCTTTATATATTCTGGGTGGCAAACCCTTATCAGATATATATGGTTTGCAAATATTTTTTTGAGTTCTGTGAATTGTCTTTTTACTTTCTTGATGTTGTCCTTGGAAGCACAAAGCTTTTTGTTTCTTTTTTTGTTTGCTTGTTTTTATCCTCACCTGAGGACTTTCCTTTTTCATTACTTTTAGAGAGAGAGGAAGAGAGAGAGAGAAACACCGATATGAGAGAGCAACATTGATCAGTTGCCTCCTGCGTGAGCCTGGACCAGGGATCAGACCTGCAAACCAGGGGTGTTTCCCTACTGGGAATTGAACCCACAACCCTTCGGCCATGGGACAGCGCTCCAACCAACTGAGCCTCACCGGCCAGGGCAGCAGCACAGTGAGGTCCAATTTATCTCACGTGAGCGTCTGGGGGTGGGGGTGTGTGTGTGTGTGTGTGTGTGTGTGTGTATTTAAGATTTTATTTATTTATTTTTAGAGAGAGGGGGAGGGAGGGAGAAAGGGGACAGAAACATAGCTATGCCATGCGCGATCAGTTGTGTCTTGCATGCCCCCAGGCAGGCTGCCTGGTCTAACAACCCAGGCACGTGCCCTGTGCCCTGACTGGGGATCAAACTGGAGACCTTGTAGTTTGCAGTCTGAAGGCCCACCCTTGTGGTTTTGGTGTTGGGGAAATCCAAGGAAATCACAGAACAGCTTGAGCAGGATTTGGTCATGGAGAGAATCTTTGACAGCGAGTATCCTTTAGGGCTTGATGTAGTGCCAGGGATGCATGTCAGTATGTCTTAATTCCCCTGAGAGATAGAATTTGTATAACTCTATTTCCTGTCATCCCTTTGTCCTGCTATATTGTTACACAAATTGTATCTACATGGTATATGTTTTAGCCCAGCCTGAATTTGTTATAATTATTGTTTTATAATTGCTACAAGTTTACCTTTTCTAGGCTCCTTGTTTTGTTTTCGTGGATTAGAATTAGTTTTACTAGTCATTCAAAATCATTTGCTTTCAGCCTGAGAAACTTCCTATTAGAAGGCAGGTCAGTTAACAACACATTGTCTCAGCTTTGGTTTATCTGGGACTTTTATCTTGAAAGATAGTTTGTACGCTTTGCATATGTCATCCCACTGCCTCCTGGTGTCAATGAAGGGGGACCCCCCAAAACTGAATTTATTTATAAAATTTTTGTATTAATTCTCACATATTTAAACTTCAGTCACTTTCCAAGTACTCTCCAGTTAATGCAATTCATTATTGAGATATTTTTTCCCACTGCTCAAAGCAGTTTTTGAACTTGTTGATTTTTATGCCTTTTAGTGCTTCTGCTGACAGCAAACTGTTTCCCTTTGAGGACTTTTTTCATCCAGGAAAACGAAACAAAACAGAAAGTCTCTCGGGACAAGGTTGGGTGAATAGGAAGGGTGGGAAACAGGGGTTATGCTGTTTTGGGTCAAAACCTGCTGAACACTCAGCACAGTGTGGGCAGATGTGCTTGTAAATCACCCACCATGAAATGGGCAAACCCTTTGAAAGAGTCTTCTAAAAAAAAGAAATTCACTGAAGCCGAACGTAGCCTCTCACAGCAATGCCTGCTGGTCCACTGATGCAAATGGGCTCCTAGAACTCTGACCTAGCGGGGGAAGCCTGTTCTACCAGGGGCCTGCTCTCCAGGAGGTAATTCTGGGGTTTTTTATGTCCTCCCTTGTTGCACTGCATGGCGGCTATAGGGGCGCGCCGCCGCGGGGGAGCGCCGCAGGGAGCGCAGCGCTCCCTGAAACCTGGAAACCGGCTGGGGCCCGCTGAGGTGGGAGCAGGGCTCTGAAACCCACAGAGCCCGTCCTGGGGTCATCACGGATGAGGGTGAATAAACACAAAACGTCTCAAACACTCAAACGTCTCCCGTCTGTTTGCTGGGAGAGCAGAAAGAGGCACTTCCCTCTTACTAGAGAAGGCCGTGGCACATCCCTCTAGTGGGGAAGGCCCTGTTGTCCTTTGTTCCAAGGCTTTTATTGAAAATCTTATCGGTGGGGTATGTAACAGGAATGCATACATTATCTCATTACATCGGTAGGCTAAGTTTCACAGTGAATATATGATGCTTTTAACAAGACAAGTGACAGGAGTACACTCATTTACATGGGTCCAAGAGGAGACCAGAGTCAACAATAGAGACTATAGATAAGGGGAAAGTAGACGTAAAGGCGCCTTAAAGATATAGGGTGAAAGGTGTAAATAAAGTAAATGTCTTAATGATACCAGGTAAGGGGTGTAAAAAAAGGTCCTTTGCAGCATGAGCTCACCAGAGATTTGAGGGAGGAACAGAGTACACTCTAAAGAATTTACTTTTAGGCCTGATTACCCCGGGATCTGCCAGATCTGATTTAGGGCTGTTTTTCCTGCACTGTTTCAAGCCTGAGCCAGGCGGAGGAGGGAGCCACAAGGGATAAGGAGACTGCTTCTCGGCTACAGTGAGGACCCCGGCCATGTCCAAGCCAAGCCGAGAGGTGCAGGGGCCATTTTGCCCCTTCTCTGTGTCCCCCAATTTCTGGTCTGCTGCCAATGTCGGCCAATACCTGTCTTAGGTCATATACCTCAGCGCAAGGTAACTTACCCGTCGTTGGCTATTGACCATCCATGGCAAAGCAGAGAGGCAGGGGCTATACCCTTGCCTGGTGGGGAACAGCCAGTCCTCCTCAGGAGCCTGCTTTCCCAAGGCCTCCTGATTATCTCCAGCCTTGGGGCCCTCCAGCCTGTCGGCAGGGTTACAGCTCCTGACACCAGGCCGGGCGTCTCCCAACACTCCCCCCCGGGTGACTGTTCAGCCAGTGCTGGCTCGGAGCTCATGCCTGAGCCCCGCTCCTGGGGCCGTGTGCGCTGCATTGTGTTGGCTTGGGCGGTTGCTCCCAAGAGGGTGCAGCCTGGGCCCCAGGGTTGGCTGCGATCCCAGGAGGGCTCTTGGCTGTCTTTGTGGTGTTCCGTCTGTTATACTCTGTGTGCTCTGCCACATAGCTGGTTGCTGCTAGTGCTTGGTGCTGTGAGCTGCACGGTCTGCACCGATCCCTAGTCCCACAGCTCCCTGAGGCCTGGGTTTTTCCCCGTTCTGTCCTGATCGAGTCGGTACCCTTCTCGGAGGGCAGGGACAGCTTCAGCTTCTCCCTGGTGACACCCCTCTCTACAAGTGGAGCTCTCTACAAGTGTCCCTAATCTTCTTGGCTTGTGAGTAGCCTCACCCTACAGAGCTGGGTAAGGACAGTCAGAACCCGGTATCCTAGACCTTCCCCGCCTGGGGTGGAGTGTCTGCCCAACCAGGGGAGGGGCTGGAGGGGAAGGAAGCCCTGGTTCTCTGGCCTTGCTGTCTTGGAATAGAGTCTTGCAACCTGGTGGGGTGGAGGACTCCGGCTGCCTCTGCCCCGTGAATCCATAGCCTTGGACTGGGAGCTGGGGGAAGGGATAAAGCTCCTGCGGTAGTTCTGCTGTGCTGTAAAGTCTTTCTCTTGTTAATGAGACTTACAGTTTTCACCATTTAAATGGTTGTTGAGGAGAAAGTCTGCCACACCCCTTACTCTGCCCTTCTGGATATGGGTTCCCCCCACAGCCCCAGCTTTTATTTCCTGTGCTGGCCTGGTCAGGTGGGACCTGCTCAGCAGATGAAATCCTGCCAGACTCAAGACGGCAGCTAAAATTGTAAGGAAGCAACCCCATAAGGGAGATTTAGCAGACAGTGTAAGCATCAGAATTAGACTGCTCGGAAGGCAGAAAACAGAATGATTAGACAGAGACTACAAAGTAGGTATGCCTAAAATATGAAAGACATAAGGGAACCAGATAGGAGAAAGGAAAAAAGAAAACCTGACCAAGACTAGACAGATTTGGAGACAAAAAGCAATAAAAAGACCTTGTATTACAAAAGAAGTATGGCATTGAACCTTAACAAGGAAGAGAAAAGTAAACAGAGTCCTGAATTTTAGTTACGTAATGACATTGTAATCTGTGGAAAACAGTCATTGTGACATCCCCTTTTGTGCTCCAAAATGTGAAGTAATGCGATACAAAGTACCACTGTGGAAAACGCCCAAGTGACAGAAGTTGAGTATCAGGGTGTACAGGCTTGCATATGTGACCTGGGGCTCCCCTTTGAGGGGAGGTGTCAGCTGGAGTGGCCTTCCCCTTCCGCCCAGTGTCCCCAGGCTCCTGCACTTTTCCCCCTGTGAGTTCTCTCAGGTCTCCTGTTTACTGCCTCTGGGAAGTCCCCAAGAGCCAGGGCTTGTCCGTCAAGCGCCGTGGATGGGCGCATTTAGCCTGACACCGCCTTGGGGCTCAGGCGAGTTTCTGTTCCATCCCTGTCCTGTCTGTTGGTGTGTGACTCCCTGGGGGTGGGTACTGAAGTCCCTTCCAGGCACCTGTCCTGGCGTTTGGCCCTGGAATGAGCTGGATGGGCATGGGAGGAGGGTTCTGGGTGAGCGCGGTGTGATGGGCAGAGTGACTTGGAGGGTTTTGAAACCTTGGTACAGGGATGCATGCGGGCTGGAAACAGACCAGGGAGAGACAGTGCTGAGGTGGGAGAAGGGACGTGAAGCAGGAGAGCGCTGTAGGAGCGAGGAGATGTGAGGTTTGGGAGGAGATCCTGAATCTGGTCTAGGGTGGTTCTTAAACCAGGAGCACAGCCCACCTGGTGATTTGAGGCAGGCAGGCAGGAAGGTGCTGCCCTAGGGCTCTGGGGTCTGAGCTCCGAGGGTCCTGGGGCATCCCTGCTAGGGAGGGAGGGCAGTTCCCCCAGGTCCTCCTCCATGGATACCTGGCTCCACCCTTGTGCATTTTGAGGCCCTTTCCCTGGGGTCTCCCTGCCTCGTGTTGGGCATTGCTCTTCACCACAAAGCCATATAGCAAGTCTTACATCATCTTCTTTCTCCTTTTTAGGAGTGGGCTTTCGTGAACACTGACATCTTTGCCAGGACCAAGATAGAGCCCAGCGCCTTGGTGCAGAAGCTGGATCTGGACACGAGGAGCATTACTTCCATCAGGAGAGGTGAGCGGGCGTTTACAGGGCCTAGCTGGCTTTGAGTTATTCTTACGCATAGGCCAGAGCAAGTTTCAGTTGCCTGTACATTTTAAAAAGGTTTTTATTAATGGACCAATTTAAGATTTACTAAAATAGAAAGAATGTTATAAAGAAATCCCATGTGTCCCTCAACCATCTTCAACACACATATACTGCATTATTTTGAAGCAAACAGTGTCCTTCATGAATTCTTTAGTATTTGTTTCTAAGGGCTCTTAAAAAAAAAAAAAAGGCATATCTCCAATGCTGTTATATATCTAAGAGAAGTAGCAGTAATTTATTTTTATCAGATAAGCACACAGCGCTCATAATTGCCTTATAAAGTTTCTTTGTAAAACTCAGAGTGCAAACAAGGGCTCGCACTGCGTTGCAGCCCCTCCCACCTTTTCCTTCAGGTCTTCAGCATGTTTCTCTGGTCCAGCAAAATTCTTGGCTAGAGCTTTTTAGCTGAGCATCCCTGGAGGTGGTGAGTGGCTCTGCTCCCCTCCGCGCTGCACTAGGGGGAGCGAGCTCTTGAGGCCTGGAGGGCGCACCACCCCATCTGGAGAGCAATCGTAAGGCTGCCTGGGCGTGAGCTGCACGTATACAGCTGAGCATTGAAAGTAACAGCGGCGTCTTGCCTTGTTAAGAGTACTCAGCCTCCAGAGCAGGGCTGTCTGCCCTAGTCTCTTCGTAACCCTACTATACTTTACCTGCACAACTGTTGCCATTGATTTGATCCTACTGTACGTTTTCATCTTTAAAGTTGTAAGTAGCTGTCCTTCTTGTCTTGCTGCTTTAACAGTGTTTGTGTTCTCATGGTTGGTTCTCTAGTGAAATGATACACAGACTTCTCTTGTTGGAGGATTAAGCAGTATCCAGGTTTTTAGTATCACTTTCCAGGTTTCCGTCTACAGTTTGTAAACAGCTTAGAGTTGTAAGATAGGACTATTTCATTGGTTTGACTTACAAGGTCTGGCTGGACTTTTCCGGACCTTGTAGCAAAGTCCAGCCATTGTTAATATAATGAGAAAGGTTTGCATGACATTGATGTAACGTGGCAGCCAAGGAGAGTGGACTGGAATGCACATGAGTGAATAGTGATGATTTCACTGTACTAGCCAGTGGGGGCGTTAGACCCGTTGAGTGAGCATGTGCACTATATGGCTGTCGCATTCAAAATGACTGAGTGAGCAGGGCAGCGACTCTGCATCAAATTTTGCATTTAGCTTGAACATTTCCCTACGGAAACCATTCAGATGATTCAGAAGGCTGCAGCTGTGGGGAACTGGTCATTGGCAGCTTCATCACAACAACGCACTCGCTCATACATGACATCTCGTGTAGAGTTTTTTGGTGAAACATCAAATCACCCAGGTGACTCAGCACCCTTACAGCCCAGATTTGGCACCCTATGACTTCTGGCTTTTCCCAAAACTAAAATCATCATTGAAAGGGAAGCGATTTCAGACCATTGATGAGATTCAGGAAACTATAACGGGCAGCTGATAGTGATGGGGAGAACTGTGTGAGGTGCTGAGGCGCCTACATTGAAGGGGACTGAGGCATCATTGTCCTGTGTACAGTGGTTCTTGTGTCTTGTACCTTCTTCAATAAATGTCTCTATTTTTCATATTACATGGCTGGATACCTTCTGGACTGACCTCATGTTATCATGCATCTTCTGTGGGGTCATGTTTACATCATTGCTCTGGATTTTTGTTGTGTCCCTGGGGAGATGTATCTGAATCTCCTGGCCATTCTTTGTGTGTTGAAACTGCAGAGAGCAAACATTTTCCCCCCTACCCTCCTAGGGAGCCTGCAAATTAGATTCATAAAGGACAGATCAACAAGAGAAAAGCAGTTTATTAATGTGTACAGTGCACATCATGCGGGCGAAACAGCAGTGATGAAAAACTCAAAGGTGTTGGCTCCCGTAACATCTTGGCAAAGAACAGAACGTTTGTAGCCTTGCAGGTCCCCAACTGTGGGAGGTAAACATGCGGGGAAACGAATGGAGGAAGGTGTTTCGGGGGGAAAGCTGCCACCTTCCCTCCCCTTCATGGCCCCAAAGCTTCCTATGGAGAGGGTGTTGCTGACACTCATTTTTCAGAAGTCTCTTTGGTGTCTGGGTATTTGGGGCAGTTCTGATTGTCTTTCTTAACCTTGAATGAGTGCTTTACGTATTGTCATGGTTAGCTATTTGTCATTTCATACAAAAACTCTTGTAGGATTTTTTAAATTGCTGAGAAAATTATTCTACCAGAGAGCTGACTAATGCTGTCTTCTGACAGTTTCCAGTGGCGGCTATTCCCACCTCTCCTTGCCTCCTGCCTTCCCTGCTGGTTGTGAGGCCAGGTTTGCCCTCTGTAGGATAGGCTCTGCCTTCTTGGTCAAGGTTGGCATTCTGCCTTGCCTGTTGGTGCACAAACCCAGAAGGAGAAGCGATCTGTGCAAAGCCACTGTCCCTGAGCAGTTTGGAGGGAGTTGAGGGGACAGAGCATTAGTTTGCAGTTACAGAACCTGAGATGGAGTCCTGGTGTTGTGCTCTGTTGGCTGTTGGATTTGGGGGCATCTGTGTAGCTTCCCAGACAGCTAATTCATCACGCATCAGATGACTGTGGTGTCTGCTGGGCAGGTGTGCTACACCAGCCTGCCTGCGGGGTCCTTCTGGGCTTCTTCACCCAGGCTGACCAGCGGGACTCTCATGTCAGTGAGGGGCTGGCCCGCTTTGTCCCCTTTCGCAGACAGGGATGCAGTGCTGCGAGAGGTCAAGCCCCAGTGTGGGCGCTGGCCCCTCCTGTTGCTGAACTCAGAGCTGTGAGGCCCCGGTTGGGAATGGGAAGGCCATTAGGACCTCCGTCTGGCACTGCTGGATGGTTCTCTGCAGGACATCGTCATAGTTCCGTGTGCACAGAGAGAGGAGCTAAAGCTCTGCGCCCACCCTGAGGGAGCCCTGGCTCAGCACTCGCACCACCTGGGCCCCACCCCCACCAGACCTGCTGGGCCCTGTTTTCACGCTCCCTTTAGGGGTTTCTGATGCTGCCAAGGGCAGAACCCTGGCCCAGAGCCAAGTGGGTCCTGCTTGGCAGCTGCAGGAACACAGAAGCCCCTTTATCTCTTGTCTCTGAAGATCCTGGAGCCCAGACAGGCCCTGTGGTCCTGAGCTGTGCTCACCCAAGTGCATCCTGGTCTCCTAATCAGGCTCCGCAGCTGCTGGACCTCCCGAGGGAGCCCCCAAGGTGTCCAGATGCTCCAGGTTCCTGGTGGCAGGCGTCTGTGTCTTGCCTCTTCCCTACCCGAGCCTCCCTCTTCAGCAGCTCTTCAGTCTTGCCTGCTTGTTGGCCAGTGCCTGGGTCATGCAGGGGAACAGTGGGCCCAATAGTCGCCAGGCCTGAGCTGGGGCTGGTGGCTTGGGGCAGGGTCAGGTTGTGTGGAAGGTGGCATCTGGTGACTCATGTGCTCACTGCTCAGGAATCTGCTGGGCAAGGTGAAGGTGCCTGACTGCCTGGATCAGCACAGGCACGTCCTTCCTTCAGGTCTTCACCCTGGGCCAAGCCACAGGACAGCTCCCTATGTCTCTGCTGCTCAGTGTCTGCCTTGAAGCCCGTGGGGACTGGAAGACACTGAGCCCCCTCAGAGGGGAGCCTGGCCTGGCTGTGGGTCCATCGCCCGAGTGGATGAATGTCCCTTTTGCTTCCCCCTTGGGCTTCTGTGTGCTCCCCTCCTCCAGGCAGATGCGCTCCCACACACTCCTGCAGCCTCAGAATGCGGCGGGGCCTGCTTTGCGGGTGGCATTGTCCCTGCGTGTCTGCAGGGAGCCTTTGGAGCCCTGGGGCCTTTGGTGCCCAGTCCGCCGCCAGGGTCCCTTCGATCCACCTTGCAGGCAGGGCCTCCATGCTTCCTGTGCGGGGCCACTAAGCTAGAGGCTGTTCCCCACCCCCGCCCAGCCCCCCCGCAGACCACCTCATCCCCCTGAGGTTGGCCCCGACGGTCAGGGCCCCTGGGCTCATGGACCTGCATGTGAAACAGCTTCCTGGATCCTGTGTCCCTTCTTGGGCTGGGGACTTGAGGGTGCGTGGCCGTGCATTCGTCCCCTACCCAGGTCGCTTCCCCACCCATTCCACCTCTAGTCCTGTAGTCCTTTATGCTAGAAAGTTGCAGAGAACAAGCCCGCTCTGTCCTCAGGCACCCAGGGTGGTGGGCCGGTACTCCATCCTGTGGCCTGGGCCGGGCACTGCCAGCCCCAGACTCATGCCCAGAGAGGTGAGCAGGGTGGAGTGGGCCTGCAGGAGGGCAGGCCTGGTTAGGGGCACAGGAGCAGAGGGATGGGAGGGAAGAGCCTCTGCATTGCCAGCACGCTGTGCAATCAGCACGCTGGGCGGCTTGGAGGACACCAGGGGACTGTGGGGGAACTGTGTCTGCTGGGCTCACTGGTGGGAGAGGTTGGGGAAGTGGCGGTGGGGAGTGGACAAAGAGGCTGCAGTGGAGGGACTTTGCACAGGGACTCCTGAGACCTGTGCACCCGCCGCCTCTGACTCTAGGACTGTGCTGCTGAGACTCCCATGTTCCCCAGACAGTGAGAGCTCTGCCTCATGGCCACGCAGACTGCAGTACCAGGACTGCACGTTCCCTGTGCTGAGCGGCCTTCCTCTGTGTGTCCGGCCCACCACAGGTGTTTCCTCTGAAGTGCGAGTCCAGAGCAGGCGCAGGCGCCGGGCTGCTCAGCAGAGGGCAGCAAAGCTGCGTCTCCTACAGCCAAGCTCAGAGCCGGGAGTCCTGTCCTGCCTCCGGAGAGGCGCTGCTGGGAAGCCCAAGGGCTTTCCAGGGGTTCAGAGGTTTTCATGAAGACCCTTACGAAGACCCCTCCTACCTTTCCTCCAGCTTCGCAGTCAAGGGTCGCACAGACTCCACTAGACCGCTTCCCTTCCTCGTGTCCACCCCACCTGCAGCTGTAAAGGGGAGCCAGCAAGAGTGGGGAATGTGGA